CAGAACTACGAATCCTTTTTTATAAAGCAAGTGCCTTATACCTCTTTTAATTTAAATGGTTCACTCTCAGATAGGGAAGATCATAGTTTATTTTATCATAAGCCGTTGTCAGAGTGCTCTAAATATTGTAGTTTAAATGATAATCTTGAAGTACCTAGAAAACATTTGATGTCTATGAAGCCGGTTGTAGACATAGAAATACCGAAGGTTGAGTTAAGATACTTTGATGGACAACCTCGTGAATACTGGAAATTTATGAGTCAATTTGAAACCTATGTCGAATCTCGAGTTGATGACGATAGCTTGCGCTTACTCTATTTGATTCAATACTGCCACGGTACTGCTAAAACAGCCACCGAAGGTTGCGTGATGTTAGAAGCGTCTATGGGATATAAAAGGGCTAAAAATTCCTGAAAAAGCTATTCGGGCAATCTCAATTTATAGCTAGGGAAACGTTGAAAGAGCTGTTTCATCTTGGAAACGTTGATTATAATGACGCCGAGCAGCTATCAAACATAGGGTTAAAATTGTAGCAATGCGCTATGATACTGGATCAAATGAACTTCACCACTGATTTCGTTTCATTAGTAAATTTGGGACGAATAGTGAAGCTGTTACCTCCTCTCATGTAAGTTCAGTGGGCTCAGCTGGCAGTTAGACGGAATGATGAGGACAGGGAGAATACATTTGTCGAAGTCATAGAGTTTATATAGTCCCGTGCAAAGATAGCCAGGCGCAGATTTGGTCGATTAGCCAATCGCACGAAAACAGCACATGATAAGACAGTGAATAGCCATTTGCGATCAGGACATAAGAATAATTCGAAAGTGTTTCTGGACCTCAGCAAGCCAGCAAACTAGTAAATATCTTAGTAAAGTACAATCTTAAGAAGACTAAATATGAAAACCTGATGATGTAGAGCATATTGACGTTTATCCTAGTGAGCAGTCAGTATCTGTAAAGGATACCTTGCCTTTGACAAGCATAGCAAACAGCTGATTAAAATCAAGAAAGATATTGATCAATAACATGAGATCGAAATTTCTACTTTATTGTCACAGTGAATTGTGAACTTCTCTTGTATTGTAGCTGACTAGTGATTACTGCTAAGCGAAAGTGGTCAGAAGGACTACGGGATAATTTATGGTGAGTTTGTTTTGCGTCAATGGCTTTCCTCAGCGTGTATCACTGGCTAGTCTTAAAGGGAACTACCTGAAATCGGCCATTCAGGGATTGTTTTCGAGATCCATTCACCAATGTAATTTAATGCATTCAAAAGGTCTGGTTTACGGACAACTTTACGTACTTGACTCCCAGCTATATTGTTCTCTGTATGAACCATTAGCAATACCCCTCTGCTTAACTAAACTAGGTAGAGCGAACAGCCTCCTAAAGGATCCGCAGAATCGCGATGCGACTGTGGGACTTAAGGATGGCTAAAATCAATCTGCTCCTCCTTATGAAGTACGAGGACTATGAGTAATTTGAACACAATTGGAGTCATTTAGGACGTTGTCTCATGAACACACCGTTACTCCATTTAAATCAGACAGTCGAAAAGGAGATTCAAGATCAGTCCACAGGCCCAGAACAAACTACATGTCAGCCGATCATCGACTCTCATCGAATTATTAGCGAACAGAACAGTTCATCTGGACGTGTTATTAACTGTAAGTAAGACTTAGAGACCACCGTAGGTGTCTGTTCCAGGCAACTGGACTGAACTCAATCAACGTGTATTAGTATATTCACAGTTGACGGGCAATCTTGTGATTAAGTAATCAGAGTGCAGTTTTCGTGTAATAATTCTAAGCAATGAACAGATGATATAACCACCAAAAATTGGTAATTTTAACAAAATTTATGGACTTAATAGGGCTAATAGGTGATGAATGAGGCTAGAATTCATAATACTACAATCCGCTACGACAATAGCTCATAGTGAGAGAAATATCACTGTGTTTTATCCAAATCATTCTGCATATAGGTTGCTGAGTATTTTTGGTGCGAAAACAACTTGATGCTATCACCCTACAATTATTCTTTATGTTGTTGGAGATATATGCACGCCCACATCTCGAGGTTTACAACGTCGTCGCACCCCATCTCCTAAAAAGAGACATAAACCTCTTGGATCGACTGCAGAGACAGGCAACGAGTTGGGTGAGAGGGTTAAGAAGATTACCCTTGAGTTACAGGAGAGTCAGAGGTGATCTGATTATAGCGTTGTAATGCTTAGAAGTATATGAATCAAGAAATAAGAATATGCACAAACGAATGTATTGTATTTAGAATTCGAAATCAAGCATTTCACAACAACAAGAAGTTACTAGTTCATTCAAACACCATATGCGCCACAGCTTAAATTGGAATGTATATGTCTGTAATCAGTTGTACGTCTTCTTCTCAAATTCATCCTGTGTCTGTCCGACAGTGTATTGAATGAAGACTCTGTATTATCTAGAATGCTCTCATTAGTATTAGAATTAACAACCGAAATTGGAACAGACTCACCTGGCTCTTGGAATTGTATTTGATCAACATGTCGATTATGTGTACTTAAGTCATTGATATCTAGAAGTCGCACCATAGATTTCCCGACATTCTTCTGAACGATCCCCGTGGATGGTCGAAGTTCATTGCCACGATAATATGTAACTTCTGCAGACTCCAAACATCTCATATTCGACCGAAGAATTCTTCCTTTTAATAGTTTTGATGGAGTGTCTTTCGTCACCGAATGTCTGGCATTTCTATATTGCAGTAGAAAGGTATCTACTCCCCTCTCCAGCTCATTAAATGTTTAGGCGACAATAGAATCACTCAACCTCGAATGCTGATTTTTCAGCTTATGACACTTTTCGCAATTCTTTGCTGTACGACAAATATCTGCATTTAATGACTGTCGAGAAATGTAGTCAACATGTTGAATTTGCTTGGCACTCCCGTGCTGAACCATTTTCATACTTCCATTGCACTTAGCACACGTGGATATCAAATCTTTAAGTAAAGCATCAGAATTTTCTTTAGAAACTAGGAAAGACAACTCCACTTTAAGTCTTCTCAAATTCTTTAAACCCAGTATTGACAGTCCTGTTTCACTAACTAAAAATTCACAAGGTATATATGAGGAATTATCATCTCTTATTAGCAATTCACAACATCCTCGTATAGGCAGTTTGTGTCCAGTAATCCCCAATATTGATACTTCAGTGGGTCGTATCACAACGTTCGGATCTAACGATTTCAAGTTCTTGAATGAAATAATGGACTCTATACTGCCTGTGTCCACAATAAAGTCATGAAATGAACCAAGCGATGTATATAGTCGCTTTTGAATATGAGCATTACCTTTCGAAATGGTAGTCAAAGATAAATGATCATTAGGATCAACTGAATTATTGGAATGTAAATTACAAGCTTTAGTACTACTTGAGGCAAAATGAACAGTAGCTTTGCATACTGCTTGAATGTGTCCTATCTTACCACATCTAAAACATTTAGCATTACGAAATGTACAATAATAACGAGAATGAAGTTTTCCACATGATAAACATTTGCCAAACTTGGTCTCACCTTTTTGATTTCCTTTGTAATTCTTTTTTGAGACACCGTTCATTTTTACACGAGAATCGGAACCTCTGTTAAACGAACACAATTTTGATTGACCCTGAGATTGTTTTTCATCATGACAACTAATCAAAGTATTGGAAATCTTCATCGACTGAATATCAAGTTCCTTCAACGCCTCGTAGTTAATGCACGCAGTTCTAACATCTTGAAAGGAACAGTTTGACATTCTTAACAGCTCTCTTTCCAAACTAGGTATGTTAATTCCTGCAATTAATCGGTCTCTCAGCTGCACATGAAGTTGATCACCAAAATTACATTTGACAGCCTGTTTCTGCAATTCAAGAATGAATTCCTTAACATTTTGGTCATTTTGACGAATCATCTTATGAAATTTCGCTCTTTCACGGCATTCAAAACCAGGGCACTTTACATGATTCAATAATAACTCCTTAAGCATTGCATAGGGAAGTGAAATGGGTTTTTCTGGATATGCCAAGGTTTTCAATAAGCTGTACGCTTCTTTTCCGATGAATGTTAGGAAATGAGCCACAATTTTATCATCTTTGACATCTTTCCTGGTCATACTCCAGATTTCAAACCTTTCCAAATAATCTTCAAAAGCTTCAGAAGTAGAATGAATATCTAGCTGTTCCATTACAAGTTCCATCGCGACGCCAGTGTAGTATTTAGAAGTATATGTATCAAGAATTAAAGATATGCACAAACGAATGTATTGTATTTAGAATTCGAAATCAAGCATTTCACAAGAACAAGAAGTTACTAGTTCATTCAAACACCATAAGCATACAACATATTGAGCACTCCAAGCCATCCCAACGTGAGCATCCTACCGATACATCACCACCAATCCCTCGAGATAATCTTAGAAAAAATTGCACATCAAAGGGCGAATACTCAGGCCAGTGCATACTATTTCTCTTTAAGAGTCGTTGCATCTTGGAATGCTCTCCCAGAGGATGCGGCCACAGCCTCTTCGGTGGACAGCTTTAAGAGGCTTGATAAACACACACTCACATCCGCATTATCATCTCTCCTCTTGGTTCATCTGTGCTTGGTGACCTGCTAGTTGTTATTATTGCCATCTCCTCATACTACTAACTTAATCTATCCCGCTTATTATCTCTGTTTCTTCTCCCTCGCTTCTTCTGCCATCGAGCACAATCTTAACCAACAGCTAATAAACTAAATTATCCATTTATTTACTAAGTTCTGAAATCTTCTCAGAATTAGAATTGTTCACACTGCAACTAACTGATCTCCTGACCTGCTGGTATCCAGAAATCCTACTGCCCTGAAACAAACGTATTCACTCACCCCTATTCATTGGATATTACCAAACACTTGGGACTGTACTGAAAGAACAAGACAGGAGCGCAAAGAAATCAATTAGTTTATAGTAGTTCGCAAAAAAGATATTGGATTTATTGGATATTGGACTGCCAAGGTCCATAACAACCAGCGCTGAATTGTAATTCACTGCAACACGTGTTAACAGCAGCTATTGACGGACAGATAAGATCTGAAGCCACGACACACAACGTTAATCAAGAAATTTATACCAAGGAAGAACTCAGGGTATAAGCCACAGGTTTTTATTTAAAAAATTAATTACTCGACACTAGTAGAAAAGGGAAAGCTTACTTAAAAATAGTCTCATACACCATCTTTGAGTCCAGTTTACTCAGGAATCGCTCTTCACTCTTCATCACATATATCCTTGGTCACCCTGCAAAAGAAAGATGAACAGAATCACGTTGATAACATGTACATAGTATTCTTAGTACTGCTAACTGAGTTGAGCAGATTATTAACACTGCTTTGTACAGGGGATCTCAAAGTATTCAAATATCAGCTGTTATCGTTCGTATTATTGCCTTTGTTAGGCTTTCATTCGTTTTCAGACTCCAAAATTTTAATTTATGACTGTCGGCTTGACCGTTTTCGGTTTCACTTTTTTGGGTTTAGTATTTTGAAGACTTTGCTCTGAAAATCGAAAACAGCTGTGAATCTTCATAATTATTGTCAAACTATATATTTGCTTTGGGCTTGTATTTATGAGTAAACTTCTGGTACCTCAATGTATTCCTTAAAGAATGTCTCTTTCATTTCCCTAGTCAGTCAGCTGAAACGTAGAACTTCATACGTACCATATCACGTACGTGCCATACCACGATAGCACAGAGGCGATCATTTCCTCTTTGTTCGCCTCTATTCCTCTGTTCAGTTCGCTTCGGATACTCTCATGCAACTAGTTAGAGAACCAGCGTGCAAGGTTTTCGCGCATCTATCTCAGCGGTCTTACGGTATCCTACGTTTCTATAACGGATACTTTTATCCAGTTCCTTATACAACATTTTACACTAAGCCTTACTTAAATCATTACGTTTTTTATTTTCAATTCACCTTAAGCCTGCTGAAAGTAAACTATATTGGTGACGTTAATTAAGCTGTAAGCATAAAATATTTTTTAGACTAGGGGCATCTGACGAAATCTCAGCTCGGATACAGAAGGCTCGATTGGCTTTTGCAAACTTACGTCACCTTTGGCACAGGTCAGATATCCGTTTGCTAACCAAAGGACAAGTGTACTGCGCAGCAGTTCGCTCCATCCTACTATACGGATGCGAAACATGGTCCGTGAGAGTAGATATTCGTAGCTTACCAGTATTCAATCACAGATGTCTCTGAACGATTGCTCGAGTATCGTGGGACAACCGAGTAAGCAATGCTTTCATTAGGAAATGAGTATGAGGTAGGGATGGCAGATCAATAGATGAAGTAATGAAACTTCATCATTTGAGGTGGTTGGTACATGTGTGCATGCCCAACCGCTGGCTGCCTCGTCGAGGTATGTTGTCTGATGTAGAAATAGGCTGGAAGAAAGCTAGGAGTGACCAAACAAAAATATGGTACCAATCCATGTATTCATCAACAACTGGACTGAGTCATGTTAGTTGGTGTGGACTGCCTGGTTGGGGTCCGCGAGACAATCGTAACGGGTGGTTTGAGACTTCGAATGACATTGTTCACAAACCGTCTGCATTGGCACAGGTGCACTCCTTATTAGTGTTTTCTCAAATTCTAATCTTCTGAGTTGCTCATCACATGTATCTATTTATTTTTAAGTTTATTTCACCAGATTCTACTTCTTGAATAATATCCTCGAACCCTAATCTCTCCGACTACTGCTAATACGTCTACTACTATGGGATTCGAAGTAACAATGTGGTCTGGCAACTTGGACTGATGTATGTACGTAATTCTACATTTTAACTGACTGACTGCTTGATCGCTGATGTCTAGTTCAACCAAGACATCTTTCTTTTGTATGTTCCGAAAGCTGATCAGTCTATTAGTAAGTTTAAATACTACTTGAAAACATATATTTCTGTCTATCATCAGGCCCAAACACCAGCTAGGAATTTTGAAGAGGCTGTAACGTACCGCGATATAGACTTCCAGCGACTAGCAAATTTACAATTCAGTAACTTATTGTGTTGTTAGTTAATCGAGTCAAACCACTTGATATTTCGAATTGTCTATATGCATTCAGTTATTTATTAATTTATATCAATTACTGTTTAGTCAAATATACCTAAATTTACACATTAATGTGATAAGTCAATCAAATATTTTACAGTGTTATTTTGATGGGACTTTTGAAACTTCAATATAATGGATACGTTGGTGCATTAACAAGTCTTCATCTAAAGTCTTTCTATCTGCAGTAAAACATGCTATCAATTATTCCGTTGTGTGAAACATAGGATCTGGCTATTAACATAACTCAGTCCAGTCGTCAAGGGCAACATGGACTAGTGCCTCGTCTTTCTTTGGAAGACTTGAGGTTCCTTTCATTCTACTCGCTCCAGACAATATCACTTTTCAAGGTATGTAGTGACTAGATATACATGACGTGTGTCCCGACCACCTTAGTGGGTGGAAATCCATTGTTTCGTCAATGGACTTACAAGCCTATCTAGTACGCCTGTTTCACTCATAAAATGTCACAACGAAATGTTGCGTATAAAACCGCTTCTTTAATTGATAGACGAATATCTCGTCTACGCTATAAGTGGCTCAGTTTAGCAAATATCAATCAAGCGTTTTGAGGCATTTACTGTTGAAATAAATTGAACAATCACTGCAAGTATTCTTGACACCCATATGTTCACTGTGTAAGTTATGCTCAGACTACATATTGAAGGACGGATAGAGATGATTCAATTTCTATTTCAATTTTAGAAACAAACCAGAGAATGGATAAATTTCCCTCCTTTGTTTCGTTGTGTTTCCTTTGCCCGTACACATGGATTGTCCTTGCTGTTATTATATTGTATATTATCAAGAGAAATTACTTTGGTCATTGCGAGTGTACTCTTGAAGATCGTTTGGATGGTAAAACGGTTATTGTTACGGGATGCAATACTGGCATTGGATTAGAAACAGTCGATGAGTTGGCTCATCGTGGAGCCCGGGTTATTATGGCCTGCAGAGATCTGAAGAAATGCAAATCCGCCCGACAGGAGCTTCTAACTAGGACTTGTAATGAAAAGCTATCTGTATTCAGTGTTCATTTAAAACCAGATCAAGTATGTTCTTACTAATCGTTTTCACCAACTTGATGTGTTTTCCTCATATTTTCCATGCCCAGATCAAATTATGTGGAGCAGTATCCGAATATGTAATCTATTGGCTAAAAGTTGGGTGCTTATATCATTATGCCACCGCCCCATTATCATTTTCAGTGACTTCCTAGTTTTCATGTAACCGGTATAATTTGGTGCTTAAAGTTGTTTGCTGAAAGATTGCTATTTTCACATGAGTAAACTGTGTAATTTTTGTTTCGTTTTCAATAGCTTGTCTGTGAAGAGTTGGATCTGGAGTCGCCAAGATCTATTCGGGAGTTCGCGAATCGTATCATAAATAGAAAAGAATCAATTTCCATTTTAATTAATAATGCTGGAGCAGATTTCCCAGAGAAAGTGTACGATGAGCTTGGCATTGAAAAACATACGAAAGTGAATCATTTGGGTCACTTTCTGCTTACTAATTTATTAAAACCGTGTTTGAAAGCCTCTGAAGGGGAACCTTGTCGTATAGTTATCGTGTCATCTTTGTTACATTGGTTTGCCAAATTACACCCAAATAGTGGATTTCTGTCAGGTGTAGGTTCTGGTTATGCTATTAGTAAACTGCTAAATGTGATTCACGCACGTGAGATATGCAAACGCTGGTCTGGAGATGGAATTATTTCTGTCAGTGTTCATCCAGGTTTAGTGAGAACGTCCATTTTTCGTTCATCTAATTGGAAGTATGTGAGTTGATGTTTGTATTGTGTTATATCCAAAGTTTTCTTTTATTTATGAAATGTATCTTCCCTAGTGTGTGCATGTCGCGTGTGTTTACCTGATAATTGTTTCTGTGTTTGTAAAAACTGGAATATCTGTTACACGAGTACCCATATTTTACTGAAATCTAATACTCTTTTCAGGCGTAGTTAACTGATCTATACTATAAATTAAACTTTGATGGTACAGAGTACGATCGTGACTGCTGTCAAACTTCTAATGATAACGACGATGTTGGTTTCATTCGTGTCTGTCTTCAATCAATAAAATATGATACAGCTCTTCCAGTAGTGGTAAGTAAATATTGTTACCCCGTGAAAGTAAGACTTTGTACTCATCAATGTTAGAGTGAGTGATTATGTAGTGAATTTGTAAATGGTATGCACATGAATTGAAAACGGCTATCCGGATTCTACAAAATAGTGTTTTATACAAAACGTTAAACAATAAGTGAATTCCTGATTACTCATGGTGGTGAGTGTTGTGACTAATATCACGCAACCAAACCACCAGTCGCAATACGATTCCGCGCCTACAACCTTAAGTCAGTAGCTAAGTTCTTGTTGGTCCATAACTCATCCCGTTCAGTCCAGAAGTTTGTAGTTTATATACAGACATACTTGACCATATAATAGCATAAATAAAAATTAACAATTATGCATGAATGAGCTAAACAGTGGCTGTCAGTAGGGGAGACAGCAATTAATAAATTGAAAATAAACTAAAAGCAGTAAGTCGTATAATAATGGTCTGTGGGTTAGTAAAATGCTTATAATTACAGGAATATGTAACCTTGGTAATCTAGTCACTTGATAATTATAAAATAAGACTGTATGTACTAATAATCCATAAATTGGTTCTGACAGTCACCATCCCTTCGATTTCCGTCCTCATATAAAAGTGAGTCTTAAGGAATGCTCATAATGTGCGGAATAGATACTTGAATGGAGTTTAAGCTATTAGCTTTACTGTGAACTCATAATTCTCGGACAATTACAGCCTAGAAAATCATTTCTATTAAATCCCCAGTTTGTATGATACATTGCAATAAATCAGTAATATTCCAAAATGATGCCAAAAGCCACTTAATTTCATCTGAAGACTATTATTTTGTAAGTTTAGGACAAATCCTTATTATTATCAACCATTGTGCTGCAGCACAAGTTCAGAAACGTTACATTGGTTTTTCTGGACTCACATTTAGCCATTCCAGATGATAAATTTTCTGTATGTTTACAGAACGACTTTCGATTCTCATACTTCAATTGAGTGCCTGGGGAGTGTGACATTTTCGCTAGGTTTGACTGACGTTCGTGTCCCGATAAGCGCCAGAGTAAAAGCTGTACTAGTCAGTTGGATCATCGTTAACAACTCAGAAATTTCCATCGATGTAGAAAGAAATTGGCATGAGAAATGATGTCTCCTAGTTATCTCCTCCTACTCCCTGATAGATCTCGGCCCAGACTCAAGGAGTGGTGAGTTGTGCCGTCAGTTAACTGATCTCAGGAAAGCACGTTCGACAGGTGTTATAGTGTTAGTCAGAGAAATGAATGCATAGGTTTGATGTTTAGGAACAAAGAAGAGCCACTCATATGACCAGGTTCGTTGGAGACTCGTTTTTTCCAGGTCAGATAATGGCGACTTTCCTCCACAACTTTGGGCGGGCAACAACCGGTTTCCGGTTAGCATCGACAATCTACATCAGTCAGCTGCAACATAGGACTTCGTACGTACGTACATCAGTTCAAGTTGCCATACCACATTAACACACAGAGATCGAAATATATATCCAGTTTCCAGATTCTAGCTAAGACATGGGTTAATATATTTTCCCAATATGGACCACCATTCTTTAAAAATCCCAGGTTCAACCCATCAGGATATGCTGCTCTCTCGCATTAGATTTTTCAACCTCATTGAGAGTAGGGGAACTAACACCAATTTGTCATTCAAGTTGACTGGAGATGGGTAACCGAAGTGCAACTGAAGGCTAATTAAACTGCTCTCTAAAGTGCTCTGCTCATCGGTCCTGGATTCAGAATGAATACTGGTCCCGTCTTCCCCGGAATGTCTCGCTAATCGTTGAATTCCTAGTCCGCTTAGTCATCGCGGATATGCCATCTGGCTTCTTCCCTCTGTAGTTCAAGCTTAAACTCAGATTTCACACCATGACTAACTACCGCTGGTGTGGTTGAATACAAGACTGCTTCTCCTTCTCTGGGTTACCTACGTGGACGCTGATCATACCCTTGTTTACACCAATTTTATCTGACGTATCAATAGTCAACAAATTCGTCGTTCTAAACGGGTGAATGTCAACAACTGGGTTACAACTTCCGTTGATCACTTGATGTCTTTACATAACATCATTGAAGTGGCAAACAACTTTGTTTTCGACTTTCTAGATCTTCCATTTATGCAATTGGGTTTTCAAAGTCTCCTTAAAATTCCTTGGACATGATTGATCTACTCAGTCTGAAAACGAGTTTGACGTTAAACACAGATTCTTACACAAGGTAGTTATGCAAGTTTTGAATAAGAACCAGCCAAATTGCTGATTGGAGTGAACGGAAGATACATCTGTGAAATCTCGGACACTGTCGCAACTCGTTCGATCCACTAACAGCACTCTGTCTGGTGTAAATGAAACGATCTACGAATTTAATGAAACTACAGTCAGTGACTTTTCAGGGGTTGACCTTCTACCAGGGGATTAACTTACTGACTTGGAATACGCCGATGAAATAGTTTCATTTGGTGAAGACTCTGACAAAATGCAGTCTTCTGACAACCTAAGCAACAATGCAAGCATGTATCGGGATGCAACTGTCCTCTCGAAGTGCTAAGTGTTGCCTCAGGATTGGCTTGCATTTGCACCTGAACTAGTGATAGGGGGTGAAGTAGTCGACCAGAAGCCAATCGAGCTTTCTGTATCCGTGCTGAGATTTATATACCAAGAGATCATCAACAACTATAAATTCATTTTCGGATCCAATCTTCTTCCTTCTTCTGGTTTCGCGGAGGTGTAATTCCTAGAAACTGATATTTATTTGGCGTATAATGGTGACCATATTCAACTTCAATGAACGTCATCCAATGCTATGTACCTAACAACGACTTCCATGGAGAGGTTGAAGATCAATTCCACGAAAAGCTACAGAGAGTCGTTGAGAGCTTCCCAAAATTCTGATGAGATGCCTAAATGCCAGAATTGGAATGGACATCAATGGATATGAAGACATCATGGGACGACATGGACAGGGAGGATGGAACGAAAATGATGAGAGATTTGCAAACTTACGTACCAGTAGAATCTATTTTGAAGGCCTTGTTTTTGGAAAATCCCTCCATGTATATATATTTGTGTTATGATCTGACTGACTCTTCTGTTCGATATTTTGGTACTTTATTTGATTCCATTTTGGGATTTTATCATTTTTTATCATTTATCATACTACATGTAAGATCCAAACTGAGATTTCGATTGAGAAATAACTGTCCAGGGAATTTAGATACTCGCCTTGCCTTGCTTAAACTCAGATTGATCACACCATGACTAACTACCGCTGGTGTGGTTGAATACAAGACTGCTTCTCCTTCTCTGGGTTACCTACGTGGACGCTGATCATACCCTTGTTTACACCAATTTTATCTGACGTATCAATAGTCAACAAATTCGTCGTTCTAAACGGGTGAATGTCAACAACTGGGTTACAACTCTACACAGTCTGAAAACGAGTTTGACGTTACATCAATCTGCGCGGTCTCGAGGTAAATTCGTTATCATAAATGGTTCAGAACAGAAACTCGTGATGATTTTGCTGCAGTTTCTTCATACTCTTTGGAAATGTGAGGGAAGCTTTGTTACTTGGAAGAATTCTTTGTAATCGTAATTTGTTTAATTGATTCGCCTCCTATCACATTCTGTTATCCTTCGTTTATATTTATTTATTTATTTATTTATCATATTCCCTCTCGTTTCTTTACCTCTTCACATTCTTTTTCTCCTATCTTTGTAATGCACATTTATTTCGGTGCCCGTTTGTAGTAATGTTTATGTTTAAATACATAACTTCTATCTGAAGTTTGTGCTGATGATGTTGTTCAGAAGAACAGTGAAAGCTCCACAACCAAAATATCCAACTCACAGAGCGAAACTCCACTACAAAACAATTGTATATATGGAGTTGGTTAAGTGTACGTAAGTGATCATTTTGTTTCTACGTACTTAAATACGTGAGCCTATTTGATTATCGTAAAATATAGGATAGCATTTCAGAACTGTCATAGTGAAGCTATGTCGATTTTACTAAATAATATGTGAAGAAAAGCATGTGCTTGAAGCAATTTATACTGTCATAAGTCAGATTTATAAACTAATTGGCTTTTACTGTTTGACTAAAATATGTTTTATTTTTAGTTTTTAGTCTATTATCTGTTTCGATGGTTGACGAAAACATGCCGTGAAGGCGCTCAAACCACAATATTTTGTGCTCTTGAGAAGAATCTCATTCCTGGTGCATTTTATTCTGAGTGTCAACCACGTAGGTGTAATTCTCAAGCACTGGATGATGAAATTTGTGATCATGTGTGGAAAACCTCGGAAGCGCTTACCGAAGAATGGGAATCATTTATTCAGAAGTAGTATTTGGAGATAATTTTTATTACTACCTGTTGTCTTTAATGAATGACATGTGAATGCCATTGGGCTCAATATTTTTAATCGTCGTATTTATGCGAAAGAATAAAACATTTTCTAGACTCCTTTTATTTGTTTTTCTCTAACGACTAACATTTTATTGTAATCTTCATAGATTATTGCTTCATCTTCCATAGAGGTAGAAAGTTGTAATTTATCGAGAGTGGGCCTGCCGCCGTGTCCCATCAGCGGGAACTAGTAAACGCTACACGTTGGATAGATGCCGTATCCATTCCAGACCAGCGCGCAGGAACAATGACTGAAGTGGTAATCCGGCATATTGTAGCGTGTTTCAGAATACGGAAGGTGATATTAACTGACCAGGGTCCCTGTTTTGAAAGTGACGACTTTAAAGCCCGTCCAAAGCAGTTTGGCATCAAGAGTATACGAACTACACCGTATCATCCGCAGATAAACGGGCTTACAGAGAGAAACAGCCGGACGTTAAAGGAATGGTCAGCATCTAATATACATAGGATAGTGCTTTCTGCTCAGCCAGTAACGTATGTTATGACTAACGTGGACAATAAGGTGAATATCATTCCTGATATCTCTTAAATCATGTTTTTCTGTAGGTGAATCGCAAACGTGTCACTCTGGTTATATCCATCAATAAACAAATACAGAAAGAAGTACTTCAAAAGAGATGAACAAAGCACTTACTGTTCTTAGTTATTTCCACTTTCCAAAGTTGAAGATTTTCAATTGAGCATTCCACCTAACTTAACCGTCAACTCTATCCTTCATCTTCAACTCACACAAATGATATCAGAATCGTTTCGATATCCATTAAACTGATCAGCGTTACAGTCGCAAGTCAAATATTTTATTATCCCCATTCTTTTGATTGGAACCTACCCATCATACTACCCTATGAATGTGTTATCGTGCTCGATCACCTTTCATGACAAGCGTTGTATAGTTGACAAAACACTGACAATGATTCTTGCTCATCATCATCATCATCTTTGCGATTTTGTAGGATAACTTATTTTATGATGCATCAAAACAAGCCTGTCTGTGCAGATCATACGTAGGATTGCAATTAATTGTCACATCTTAACACTGACCAATAGCTATAGACGAGATTTTAGCGACGATTACACAACAAGAAAGTGGTGCTGCATGCTTGATAGTTGACTTAATAACAACAAGCCCCAAATAAAGAAGAACACACAACTGATGATCACTAGACCAGGACCGTTATTATATTTTAGTATATGTAAGGAGACTGCTATGGTATAAATTTACGTTCTGAATAGAACCTTGGAACTACGGCAATAAAAAAATAATAGAGAACTATAATACTTGATCATTTTGGGTGGTCATTTTAAATCAATACAGCCTTAGGAAAATCTACCCGACTTGATTGAAATCATCAAGCTAAACTTCGGTGATGATGCCTACAAAAAACGCTTTGAAAATCCTCCCGCCTTATAACTACATCATCTATCATAAAAACAGTGAATGCTAAGATTCACCACAAGCCATCACTCAACCCTTTTTTTCTGATTATCATCGGAAGACAATATTTTGATCGCCAAGCAGTAAACCACTCCACCTATTTAGCAAAATACCACTCTGCCAACACATTCTTAAATAGACAATCGTCGGAAGTATCATTCGGATCAAAAAGTTGTAGTAGTAGAATGCTTACTACGAAGATTTCTGTTTTGTTATCCAACCATCTAGTCTTTATTTCCAACTCACTCATTTCTATCAATTTTCAGTTCACATGGGGATTTTAGGTAAAACTTGCAGAGTTTATTTCAACTACATACTTAATTCCAAATTATTTCCAAGTTTTCGCTTCATACAGTAAAACTGTCTTGACATTTGTATTGAAAATCTTGATTTTGGTGTTGATTGATAGTTGTTTGGAGTTTCAGATGTTTTTCAATTGCAGAAATACAGCCCTTGCTTTGCCTATCCGCGCCCTCACATCTGCATCGGATCCACCTTGATTAACGTTGATGCTGCCTAGATATGTAAAGATGTTAACGTCCTCCAAGGCATTTCCATCGGAGAATCTAGCTTTTCCCTTTATGTTGAGACCTGCTGCTACTACACTGGGCGTCTTGTCTTACATTTGTAGTTGCATGTGCGATAGAGGAACCAGATCATCTGCAAAGTCCAAATCGTCCAGCTGCATCTGATATTTGCCTGACATTTTTTCTGATTGGTTGATAAATTGAGTCAATGTCGATGTGTTTGTTGACTGACCTGAGTGCCATGCTCCTAAAAATTCTCGATCTTTTTGTGTTCCCCCTATCCAGTATTACAACATTGTTCCGATCGAACGTATGTCCATAGTTGTCCGTATGTATTGATATAAGCGAAGAAATATTGTGGCGTTTGACTGCTAATTGGTGGTCACGTAAACGAATCTGAAGAGGACGTCCACTTTTTCCTGCGTAGCGTCTTTCACAATCTGAGCGATTTACTTTATGGATGGCATTTTGTTTTTCTTCCTTTATCATTTTGTCCTCTGGTCTACATAGGATTGGTTGAAGTGATTCTGTTGGTTTGTGTGCTACGCCTATTCCAAATGGTCTCAGTAGTCGTGATGTAAGTTCCGACATGTCTTTTGTGTATGGTAGGATGATCCGTTTATTGGTTCCTGCACTTGATTTCGCTTCTGTTGATGATTTCGGTCGATATTTTTTGATGGAGATGCGTGGATAGCCGTTCTTTTTAAAGATGGTCATTAGATATTTCTCTTCGTTTCTCTGCGCTTCAAGTGTGTTGCAGTGTGTCTTCGCTCTCTAGAACAACGTTTGTACGCAGTTGACTTTGTGAATTCTTGGGTTATTGCTACTGTAGTTGAGAATTAGGTCTGTGTGGGTTGGCTTCCGAAATACTTGAGTCTCCAGTTTTCCTGTATCAATTGTGGTGATTAGTACATCCAAGAATGATAGACTATTGTTTGATTCCTTTTCCATTGTGAATTTTATGTCATCAGGGACGTTGTTGATCCGATTGTAGATGTTCTCCAGCTCGTTCCTTTTAATAACGACTGATGTATCATCTACATAGAAAAACCCACATTTTTGGCTTGATCACTGGTTGAACCGACGTTTCCAGTCGCTACATCACGGCTTCCGCAATGAGTCCTGATATTGGTGATTTCATTGGTGTTCCTTTTGTTTGTTCTTAGATCCTATTGTTGAATTTAAAATACGTTGTTAAGCATAGATCGATGAGTTCTAGGAGACTTTGACTCTGAAATTCCATATATTTTTGGAGATTTGTGTCATTGGTGAGGAGCAAGAAAATAGTTTAGATAAGTTTGGCTCTATTGATATGAATAAGGCTGTTACGTCGAAAGATATTATCATTTCGTCGTTGTCGATTTGGAACCCGCTGAGTGTAGTTTCGGCCTACTATAGAATTGTGGAATTACAGGGCCATTGGATTTCATCTTATTTTGATATTTGTTCTGCTTTGACAGGCTTGTTAAGAGTCCTTGAGATTTGTCTGTCTAACTTTTTTATTCGGTTTGTGTTGACTGATTTCTACACACTTCTGTCCTCAAGTATTTCCTTGGCTTTCCTGATATATCCTTCCTTGTCCATTATTACTGTTGTACGTCCTTTTTCCGCTGGGCCTATGACTACATCTTCTCCTGCTCTGAGTTTGTTTAGGGATTTTCGTTGTTGTGATGTTAGTAGGTTGTTTCCTCTGTTCGATCGAGTTAGTGGTACTGTGGTGCGCGCTACTTATCAGTGGTATATGACGCGAGTGTAAACGTAATGTCTGGCAGCAGAAGATGGGGGAAGATCGAGAAAGGAAGAGTGGGAACACAATGGAATTCGTATGAAACGCATGAATAGTGAAATTTCAGAAAATGGATTGATGATGGATTGAAGATTTGCAAATTAACGGTTACGATATGGTTTTCCTATTTTGCTGAGTAACTCTGTAATCTTCGTTAAATACAATTCGGTTGCCCTCACCTGTGTTCTCCTTCACTACAGTACTATAGTTTGTCTTATTTCTTGTTGCGTTTCTTCGTTGATTATCCATCATCTCAAAATTATACGCTTCTCGTAGATCGAAAATGGGAGAATTTCGCCAGACAGGCTTCCACTCGAGAACAACTTTACTTTCTCCACGAATGACTTCGTCATCATGTCCTGCCAACAAGTATCAAATAAAGACCATCAATCAACTGCCCGATGGGATTGCGAATAGCGGAGCAAAGTGGAAGGGATGTGGAACAACTAATGTTAACCGACGCACAATACAGGGTCCACGAATACCAAGACAACATGAATGAACAAAAAAGAAAACTAGACAATACTCACATTGAAACATTTAACATTACTGACAGAGGGCGATAGAGGTGTCAAGCAGACGAAACAGAGAAAAAATAAGAAAAATCATCGAAGATAAACTAATCAAAGCTTCAAAGTCATTCACCGAAGAAAACTCTAAGAGTCATCACACAAAACGACCGGAATCAATGAAGAAACGCAATAGGAGCACGTATGGGCACTTTTTATGTTTACAACCAATTAGAGAATAGATAAATATTAAGGTGCAGACACGCGTTCGATAATGCTAACGCATTCGTATTCATAAAAATCAAGTGTCTAGTTTACCGTTTGTAGATAATAAAAGTGACACTATTTTCTGCCGTACAAGTAAAAGTGATAAAGGCTTTATTAGCATTACAATCTAAATAGGCGGAAGATAGGAATAAATTTGTAAGTTTTGCCTGTCACAAATACTTATGTTTAAGTAAATATATAGGTTAAAACACATTGTATTACACCTTTACCACCACTTTAAATCCTCATGTTATCAGTATTTTGACCCATGAAATTCAATTCGTCAACATTATTGTCTGATTATATATCAACCACTAACCATGCAGAGTAGACTGTGACCTTAGCATTTCTAAATAATTTGAATTGCAGATCTGATATTTAGTTCTTGCTAAATCTTTGGTAGATAAAACCGTTTGTCACTATACGATATATACGCTTACGTTTATTTAAAATTAAAAGTCGTACACCAGTAGATTTCTTCAAAAAAAACTGGAAACATATTTTCACAGTCACTACCTCGCTGTTATTTAAGTTTGTTTGTTAAGTACAACTTTCTACCTCTATGGAAGATGAAGCAATAATCTATGAAGATTACAATAAAATGTTAGTCGTTAGAGAAAAACAAATAAAAGGAGTCTAGAAAATGTTTTATTCTTTCGCATAAATACGACGATTAAAAATATTGAGCCCAATGGCATTCACATGTCATTCATTAAAGACAACAGGTAGTAATAAAAATTATCTCCAAATACTACTTCTGAATAAATGATTCCCATTCTTCGGTAAGCGCTTCCGAGGTTTTCCACACATGATCACAAATTTCATCATCCAGTGCTTGAGAATTACACCTACGTGGTTGACACTCAGAATAAAATGCACCAGGAATGAGATTCTTCTCAAGAGCACAAAATATTGTGGTTTGAGCGCCTTCACGGCATGTTTTCGTCAACCATCGAAACAGATAATAGACTAAAAACTAAAAATAAAACATATTTTAGTCAAACAGTAAAAGCCAATTAGTTTATAAATCTGACTTATGACAGTATAAATTGCTTCAAGCACATGCTTTTCTTCACATATTATTTAGTAAAATCGACATAGCTTCACTATGACAGTTCTGAAATGCTATCCTATATTTTACGATAATCAAATAGGCTCACGTATTTAAGTACGTAGAAACAAAATGATCACTTACGTACACTTAATCAACTCCATATATACAATTGTTTTGTGGTGGAGTTTCGTTCTGTGAGTTGGATATTTTGGTTGTGGAGCTTTCACTGTTCTTCTGAACAACATCATCAGCACAAACTTCAGATAGAAGTTATGTATTTAAACATAAACATTACTACAAACGGGCACCGAAATAAATGTGCATTACAAAGATAGGAGAAAAAGAATGTGAAGAGGTAAAGAAACGAGAGGGGATATGATAAATAAATAAATAAATAAATATAAACGAAGGATAACAGAATGTGATAGGAGGCGAATCAATTAAACAAATTACGATTACAAAGAATTCTTCCAAGTAACAAAGCTTCTCTCACATTTCCAAAGAGTATGAAGAAACTGCAGCAAAATTATCACGCGTTTCTGTTCTGAACCATTTATGATAACGAATTAACCTCGAGACCGCGCAGATTGATTTTGACCTTTGCTATTCATACATCAATCTCACGCCAGCACCAACACTCCTACCATGACCAAGATACACGAACTTCTCTATCACTTTAAAAGGTTCACTACAAACAGTGAGTGAGGGCACAGGCTACGCCGATCTTCTTAAAGTCCTTCGTATTTAGATGAAAGATACATACTATACTTACGGACATTGGATTACAACTACTTTAGTATAATTTGCATAAGTTGAGTATTATTACTCTATAAAGCATAATCTACATACTTGAAATCGAAAAATCGTTCTCCATCTAGTAGAGTCACATTAGCACCACCTGATTTCATAACAGATCTTTCAGGAACATCATCAACGGCAAATTCGATCGAGCAGAACCTTGCATAGACCCACTTTCGAAATAGCACAATGAAAAGATATAGTCGTACGCTTTCACTCTCTAGTGTTTGTGTAAAGAAACTTTAGAAATTCAATGAACTTTTCAAGTGGATCATATTTTAACAAGCAGCCCCAGAGTACAGTCCCGTCTAATGAGTCGAGAGCGGCCCCGATATAGAGGAACACGACAAATTTTGGATTACAACAAGTGTGACCATGTTTTGACACTTGGAGAAGAGTGGAGAAATGATCAAGACACTCACAACCAGGATGAAAACTAGTCTGTCTTGCGTAAGTCGATCTCTCAAGGGTTTTGAACAGTATCGTGGAAGCCGGTTGTTTTTCCATAATTGGAAGTAAACATACCCCACGATAGTTGTATCATAAATGAAGTAGACCTTCTTAAAGATTGGACTAATGGTTGTTTTATTTCATGATGTTAGGATACTCTCAAGTTCCCAAATCTCTCAAAAAACTCAGTTTGCTAATCAGGAGTTTGTCAACTTAGGAAGAACCAAAGGTAAGTTATTTGGGCCTGTGCAGCATGCCGTGCCATTTTATGAGTGAAACAGGGTCAGTAAGAACAAACGATGTTGTAATCTATTAGTATTTGATCATAAGTATCTTCGAAGAATCGCTCGCGTATTTCAGAACCATCAAGTGAGCAATCTTGAAGTTATGAAAAGGGTACTAGATAGGCTTGTAAGTCCGTTGACGAAACAATGGATTTCCACCCACTAAGGTGGTCGGGACACACGTCATGTATATCTAGTCACTACCTACCTTGAAAAGTGATATTTTCTGGAGCGAGTAGAATGAAAGGAACCTCAAGTCCTCCAAAGAAAGACGAGGCACTAGTCCATGTTGCCCTTGACGACTGGACTGAGTTATGTTAATAGCCAGATCCTATGTTTCACACAACGGAATAATTGATAGCATGTTTTACTGCAGATAGAAAGACTTTAGATGAAGACTTGTTAATGCACCAACGTATCTATTATATTGAAGTAAAACCCTTTCTTTACGGTGTCTTTCCTACAACCAGTAAACCTCAAACAAATACGAGCTCGCACTAGGGCATGATCTGAATCTAAACATGTGCCCCACAACGAGCGACAGACCTCTATCGAACCTCTCCATCGGTGGCTGATGGCAATGTGATCTAGTTGCGTCCAACGTTGAGACTTTCGAGGTCACCAGGTCAAGAGATGTTTTTCCTTGTGCCTAAATTTAGTGTTTAATAGGAATAGGCGGTTATCTGAGCACAGTTGCAACAGACGGTCACCCTTGTCTGTTCTCTGAGCCGCGACACCACAACATCCACCCACGTGTTTTTCCCGCTCACTCAATCTACCTACTTTAGGATTAAAGTCACTAGCCACTATTACTACATCAAAGCGCCTAACATTTTGGAGGGGGTCCGAAAGCTTTCTGTAAAACTCATAGGCATAGGCAGATACGACGAAGAGGCAACAGCGAGTGTCCCTATCTTAACGAGTCCTTACTATCCCGTTTAGGCGGTTAGCGCACAAGCGACTACCTACTGGGATCCAGTCTAGGAGAGATTGTTCAGCTCTACGACTCAATGCTAAACCTACGAAAGCAAGACCCCTGTGAGCAGCATCAAGGCTTCCAGATACACGAAGAGTAAATCGAGTTGGTTCTTTATTTTGACAAGGTGAAATCAGATTAATAGTTTTACTAAGATCCTGTGTGTGCGTTCCCGAGACGCAGCACACATCGATGGCACGAGATACTAAAGTCCTAGCTGATGACGCCTGCTGCCCTATTCGACACAATGTCCGTACATTAAAAGCTCCAACATGTAGTCTAGAACGGGGTTTCAAGAGACCAGGAATGATGTTTCGTGAACTCTCTTCGTTCGCATGAGCGGTGCAGTGAGATAAGGGAATGTGAGAAGAGTTAGTTGTGGAAATAAGAGAGGTATGTGTGGGTGTAGGAAGGATTTGATTTCGACCAATTTGGTCTCGTGTGCTGTTGCGGGTATGAGGGCAGTTGTCACTTCCCGGCTGCCCACACCGTGGAAGGTTATTTCTTGAGGGATTTGTAAAGGAAGATGGATTAGTGTTGGTATTGGAGACCTGGGAGCGTGACCGCAGAACCCAAGGGACAACTGCTTGAGGCCGGTCACGCACGGCCTTTTTATGAAGGGTTTTTTGAGGACTAGCTCCGCTCTTACAGGCCCTTAGTGGGCACCCTTACCCAAGGAGACAGAAATCCATGTGGTAAGGTGAGGTGTGACATTTTCAGGGTCGATATTTTCTAACCCTTCCTTCCTTGTGAGAAGGCAGCATCGCTGCAGGTGCTGGTTGTCCGAGGGAAACACCTTACTGCTGTCACACCTCTCTGCAGTCAGCAGTACGACTTCGCCCCCAGACCTTGGGTAGTTGCTTTTAGTCTGATCGTTCTCCAATCGACCTGCCTGGCATGGTAGAACCTTCAGGAACATATGTTCCAGCCAGTATAGCTCGGTTGGGTCATCACGATAGGCAAGCCCGACCACCACGTCAAGGTAGCAGCTGCGGTCGGGCTACTGCTTTTAGTTTATTTTCAATTTATTAATTGCTGTCTCCCCTACTGACAGCCACTGTTTAGCTCATTCATGCATAATTGTTAATTTTTATTTATGCTATGATATGGTCAAGTATGTCTGTATACAAACTACAAACTTCTGGACTGAACGGGATGAGTTATGGACCAACAAGAACTTAGCTACTGACTTAAGGTTGTAGGCGCGGAATCGTATTGTGACTGGTGGTTTGGTTGCGTGATATTAGTCACAACACTCACCACCATGAGTAATCAGGAATTCACTTATTGTTTAACGTTTTGTATAAAACACTATTCTGTAGAATCCGGATAGCCGTTTTCAATTCATGTGCATACCATTTACAAATTCACTACATAATCACTCACTCTAACATTGATGAGTACATAGTCTTACTGTAGTAAAGGATAACACAGGTGAGAGGAACCGAATTTTATTTATCTCAAATTACAGAGTTGATTGGTAAAATAGGAAAACCATATCGTAAATCGGTAATTTGCAAAATATCAATCCATCATATAGAACTGAACTGTTCCTGTTACAAAACATCAATCCATTATCTCACATTTCACTGTTCATGCGTTTCATACAAATCCCATTGTGTTCCCGCTCTTCCTTCCTTGATCTTCCCCCATCTTCTGCTGCCAGACACTGCGTTTTTATTCGCGTCATATACTACCTATAAGTTGCGCGCACCACATTACTTTCACGGGGTTACTATATTTACTTACCACTACTGGAAGAGCTGTATCATATTTTATTGATTGAAGACAGACACGAATGAAACCAACATCGTCGTTATCATTAGAAGTTTGACAGCAGTCACGATCGTACTCTGTACCATCAAAGTTTAATTTATAGTATAGATCAGTTAACTACGCCTGAAAAGAGTATTAGATTTCAGTAAAATATGGGTACTCGTGTAACAGATATTCCAGTTTTTACAAACACAGAAACAATTATCAGGTAAACACACGCGACATGCACACACTAGGGAAGATACATTTCATAAATAAAAGAAAACTTTGGATATAACACAATACAAACATCAACTCACATACTTCCAATTAGATGAACGAAAAATGGACGTTCTCACTAAACCTGGATGAACACTGACAGAAATAATTCCATCTCCAGACCAGCGTTTGCATATCTCACGTGCGTGAATCACATTTAGCAGTTTACTAATAGCATAACCAGAACCTACACCTGACAGAAATCCACTATTCGGGTGTAATTTGGCAAACCAGTGTGACAGAGATGACACGATAACTATACGACAAGGTTCTCCTTCAGAGGCTTTCAAACACGGTTTTAATAAATTAGTAAGCAGAAAGTGACCCAAATGATTCACTTTCGTATGTTTTTCAATGCCAAGCTCATCGTACACTTTCTCTGGGAAATCTGCTCCAGCATTATTAATTAAAATGGAAATTGATTCTTTTCTATTTATGATACGATTCGCGAACTCCCGAATAGATCTTGGCGACTCCAGATCCAACTCTTCACAGACAAGCTATTGAAAACGAAACAAAAATTACACAGTTTACTCATGTGAAAATAGCAATCTTTCAGCAAACAACTTTAAGCACCAAATTATACCGGTTACATGAAAACTAGGAAGTCACTGAAAATGATAATGGGGCGGTGGCATAATGATATAAGCACCCAACTTTTAGCCAATAGATTACATATTCGGATACTGCTCCACATAATTTGATCTCGGCATGGAAAATATGAGAAAAACACATCAAGTTGGTGAAAACGATTAGTAAGAACATACTTGATCTGGTTTTAAATGAACACTGAATACAGATAGCTTTTCATTACAAGTCCTAGTTAGAAGCTCCTGTCGGGCGGATTTGCATTTCTTCAGATCTCTGCAGGCCATAATAACCCGGGCTCCACGATGAGCCAACTCATCGACTGTTTCTAATCCAATGCCAGTATTGCATCCCGTAACAATAACCGTTTTACCATCCAAACGATCTTCAAGAGTACACTCGCAATGACCAAAGTAATTTCTCTTGATAATATACAATATAATAACAGCAAGGACAATCCATGTGTACGGGCAAAGGAAACACAACGAAACAAAGGAGGGAAATTTATCCATTCTCTGGTTTGTTTCTAAAATTCAAATAGAAATTGAATCATTTCTATCCGTTCTTCAATATGTAGTCTGAGCATAACTTACACAGTGAACATATGGGTGTCAAGAATACTTGCAGTGATTGTTCAATTTATTTCAACAGTAAATGCCTCAAAACGCTTGATTGATATTTGCTAAACTGAGCCACTTATAGCGTAGACGAGATATTCGTCTATCAATTAAAGAACGGGTTTTATACGCAACATTTCGTTGTGACATTTTATGAGTGAAACAGGGGTACTAGATAGGCTTGTAAGTCCGTTGACGAAACAATGGATTTCCACCCACTAAGGTGGTCGGGACACACGTCATGTATATCTAGTCACTACATACCTTGAAAAGTGATATTTTCTGGAGCGAGTAGAATGAAAGGAACCTCAAGTCCTCCAAAGAAAGACGAGGCACTAGTCCATGTTGCCCTTGACGACTGGACTGAGTTATGTTAATAGCCAGATCCTATGTTTCACACAACGGAATAATTGATAGCATGTTTTACTGCAGATAGAAAGACTTTAGATGAAGACTTGTTAATGCACCAACGTATCCATTATACTGAAGTTTCAAAAGTCCCATCAAAATAACACTGTAAAATATTTGATTGACTTATCACATTAATGTGTAAATTTAGGTATATTTGACTAAACAGTAATTGATATAAATTAATAAATAACTGAATGCATATAGACAATTCGAAATATCAAGTGGTTTGACTCGATTAACTAACAACACAATAAGTTACTGAATTGTAAATTTGCTAGTCGCTGGAAGTCTATATCGCGGTACGTTACAGCCTCTTCAAAATTCCTTAGCTGGTGTTTGGGCCTGATGATAGACAGAAATATATGTTTTCAAGTAGTATTTAAACTTACTAATAGACTGATCAGCTTTCGGAACATACAAAAGAAAGATGTCTTGGTTGAACTAGACATCAGCGATCAAGCAGTCAGTCAGTTAAAATGTAGAATTACGTACATACATCAGTCCAAGTTGCCAGACCACATTGTTACTTCGAATCCCATAGTAGTAGACGTATTAGCAGTAGTCGGAGAGATTAGGGTTCGAGGATATTATTCAAGAAGTAGAATCTGGTGAAATAAACTTAAAAATAAATAGATACATGTGATGAGCAACTCAGAAGATTAGAATTTGAGAAAACACTAATAAGGAGTGCACCTGTGCCAATGCAGACGGTTTGTGAACAATGTCATTCGAAGTCTCAAACCACCCGTTACGATTGTCTCGCGGACCCCAACCAGGCAGTCCACACCAACTAACATGACTCAGTCCAGTTGTTGATGAATACATGGATTGGTACCATATTTTTGTTTGGTCACTCCTAGCTTTCTTCCAGCCTATTTCTACATCAGACAACATACCTCGACGAGGCAGCCAGCGGTTGGGCATGCACACATGTACCAACCACCTCAAATGATGAAGTTTCATTACTTCATCTATTGATCTGCCATCCCTACCTCATACTCATTTCCTAATGAAAGCATTGCTTACTCGGTTGTCCCACGATACTCGAGCAATCGTTCAGAGACATCTGTGATTGAATACTGGTAAGCTACGAATATCTACTCTCACCGTCCATGTTTCGCATCCGTATAGTAGGATGGAGCGAACTGCTGCGCAGTACACTTGTCCTTTAGTCAGCAAACGGATATCTCGCCTACGCCATAAGTGACGTAAGTTTGCAAAAGCCAATCGAGCCTTCTGTATCCGTGCTGAGACTTCGTCAGCCAGCAGGTCATCAGCACTGATGAGATCCCCGAGACAAGTGAAGTGGTCAAGCGTCAAGTGTAAGTACGATTGGGAGTGCCAACATGTGGATCAGCAAAAAAGTGGTCAAAGCACTTACTTTTTACAGGCTCACGGTTTGCATTACTTAATTTAGTTAAGCAAAGGGGTATTGCTAATGGTTCATACAGAGAACAATATAGCTGGGAGTCAAGTACGTAAAGTTGTCCGTAAACCAGACCTTTTGAATGCATTAAATTACATTGGTGAATGGATCTCGAAAACAATCCCTGAATGGCCGATTTCAGGTAGTTCCCTTTAAGACTAGCCAGTGATACACGCTGAGGAAAGCCATTGACGCAAAACAAACTCACCATAAATTATCCCGTAGTCCTTCTGACCACTTTCGCTTAGCAGTAATCACTAGTCAGCTACAATACAAGAGAAGTTCACAATTCACTGTGACAATAAAGTAGAAATTTCGATCACATGTTAGTCGTCAGTATTTGTTGGAACCATTACTAATCTTATGCTGATAGGCTGTCCACTAACAAATCAAATAATACATTGAGGCCGTATGAATGTATGATTTAATTAAGAAAGGGGACAAAATTATCGAGCTCTTTTCCATCAGTGCCCCTAGTCTAAAAAATATTTTATGCTTACAGCTTAATTAACGTCACCAATATAGTTACTTTCAGCAGGCTTAAGGTGAATTGAAAATAAAAACGTAATATTTAAGTAAGGCTTAGTGTAAAATGTTGTATAAGGAACTGGATAAAAGTATCCGTTATAAGAAACGTAGGATACCGTAAGACCGCTGAGATAGATGCGCGAAAACCTTGCACGCTAGTTCTCTAACTAGTTGCATGAGAGTATCCGAAGCAAACTGAACAGAGGGAATAGAGGCGAACAAAGAGGAAATGATCGCCTCTGTGCTATCGTGGTATGGCACGTACGTGATATGGTACGTATGAAGTTCTACGTTTCAGCTGACTGACTAGGGGAAATGAAAGAGACATTCTTTAAGGAATACAGTGAGGTACCAGAAGTTTACTCATAAATTACAAGCCGTCAAAGCAAATATATAGTTTTGACAATAATTATGAAACGATTCACAGCTGGTTTTCGATTTTCAGAGCAAAGTCTTCAAAATACTAAACCCAAAAAAGTGAAACCGAAAACGGTCAAGCCGACAGTCATAAATTAAAATTTTGGAGTCTGAATAAACGAATGAAAGCCTAACAAAGGCAATAATACGAACGATAACAGCTGATATTTGAATACTTTGAGATCCCCTGTACAAAGCAGTGTTAATAATCTGCTCAACTCAGTGTAGCAGTACTAAGAATACTATGTACAATGTTATCAACGTGATTCTGTCATCTTTCTTTTGCAGGGTGACCAAGGATATATGTGATGAAGAGTGAAGAGCGATTCCTGAGTAAACTGGACTTCAAAGATGGTGTATGAGACTATTTTTCAAGTAAGCTTTCCCTTTTCTACTAGTGTCGAGTAATTTAATTTTTTAAAATAAAAACCTGTGGCTTATACCCTGAGTTCTTCCTTGGTATAAATTTCTTGATTAACGTTGTGTGTCGTGGCTTCAGATCTTATCTGTCCGTCAATAGCTGCTGTTAACACATGTTGCAGTGAATTACAATTCAGCGCTGGTTGTTATGGACCTTGGCAGTCCAATATCCAATAAATCCAATATCTTTTTCACGAGCTAGTGTAAACCAATTTGATTTCTTCGCGCTCGATTCTTGTTCTTTCGGTACGGTTCCAGGTGTTCGGTATTGTCCAATGGATGGAGGTCTAGCCATTCGACTGTCTAATTCTAGTCAGTTGGCAGTTGGTTGTGAGTTTGTATGTCTCGTGATTTGAATGAAAACGTTTGTTTCAGGGCAGTAGGGTTTCTGGATACTAGCAGCCGTCACATTACCAAACCGGAGACCAGTTAGTTGCAATGTGGAGAGTAATAAGGGTAATAAGGATAAATTAAAATGATAATATGAGTAAAATTTCAGAACTGAGTAATATATAAATGAATTTAGTTTATTAATTGGTAGTGAAGATTGTGAGAGAGGACCGAAATGTAAGCAAGGGAGAGGAATAGGCGAGATAGATTAATTGAGTGATCTGTGGAGATGGCAATGGTAACAACTAGCAGGTCTCAAGATATGCATCAGGCACAGCTTGTCCAAGAGGGAGATGATAGTCCGCATGTGAGTACGTGATTATCAAGTCTCTTCTTAAAGCAGTCCACTGAGGGGGCTGTAACTGACTCGGCTGGGAGAGCATTCCAAGTTGCGACGACTCGCAATGAGAAAAAGTGCACGAATCTGAGTGTTTGCTCTTTGATGTGCAATCTTTTGAGGATTGCCTCGAGGGGAGTGGTGGTGATGCATCGGTAGGATGCTCACGTTGGGATGGCTTGGCGTGCTTAATATGTTGTACCCTATAATCAGATCACCTCTGACTCTCCTGTAACTCAAGGGTAATCTTCTTAACCCTCTCACCCAACTCGTTGCTTGTCTCTGCAGTCGATCCAAGAGATTTATGTCTCATTTTAGGAGATGGGGTGCGACGACGTTGTAAACCTCGAGATGTGGACGTGCATATATCTCCAACAACATAAAGAATAATTGTAGGGTGATAGCATCAAGTTGTTTTCGCACCAAAAATACTCAGCAACCTATATTCAGAATGATTTGGATGAAGCACACTGATATTTCTCTCACTATGAGCTTTGTCGTAGCGGATTGTAGTATTATGAATTCTAGCCTCATTCATCACCTATTAGCCCTATTAAGTCCATAAATTTTGTTAAAATTACCAATTTTTGGTGGTTATATCATCTGTTCATTGCTTAGAATTATTACACGAAAACTGCACTCTGATTACTTAATCACAAGATTGCCCGTCAACTGTGAATATACTAATACACGTTGATTGAGTTCAGTCCAGTTGCCTGGAACAGACACCTACGGTGGTCTCTAAGTCTTACTTACAGTTAATAACACGTCCAGATGAACTGTTCTGTTCGCTAATAATTCGATGAGAGTCGATGATCGGCTGACATGTAGTTTGTTCTGGGCCTGTGGACTGATCTTGAATCTCCTTTTCGACTGTCTGATTTAAATGGAGTAACGGTGTGTTCATGAGACAACGTCCCAAATAACTCCAATAGTGTTCAAATTACTCATAGTCCTCGTACTTCATAAGGAGGAGCAGATTGATTTTAGCCAGCCTTAAGTCCCACAGTCGCATCCCGACTCTGCAGATCTGCTATGTCGCAATTTTCTGAACCTTTCCCAACATCTTACCCTCCGGTTAGCTTTGAAGTTGGCTGGTTGTATATAGTACTCTTGTCCTACCCTATCGTGCACTTTTAATGCGGTTCTGTCATGTACATAACTAGAGGCACAATGTACTGATAAATCGGCTCCGAAACCTTTGGTTGCTAATGTACTTCAGTTCGTACTATTCTTAATGTCTCCGCTCACGACATATCTCACTTTATTACATTACAACTCATTAGGTGTTGTTCGATATAAGCTTAAGAACTTTTTAAAGCATCGGCTGGTTTCCTCTCCCCTTTTGACTTAACCAATACCCTTTTAAACTTATCGAACCTTGCCCGTTCGATCGCGGGTGGTATGGTGGCGAGCGTAAGTGTTTAATGGCAAGCTGTTGACAGAAAGTTTGGAATCGGTTAGAGATGAGTTGAGACCCATCGTCAGATACGAACACATCTGGAATTCCATTTCTGGAGAAAATTTCAGTGAAGAGTTGTATTGTCTTAGTTGCCATATGCAGCATTACGGGGTTGGTTTCTGGCCATATCGAGAAGGCGACGACTACAATTTAATACATAGTTTCATTGGTTGGACCAGTGAAGTCAACGTGTATCCTGGACCAAGGATGACCAGGTTTGGGCAATGAAACAGGCGGAATTTTGGCATCCATCTTTGCCGCCTGCTGACACCGCATGCATTTTTCAACTAACGCTGTGACATGTTGATCCATGAGAGGCCAGTATGCATAACTCCTGGCTATGGACTTCATTCGTTTAACCCATGAATAACCAGGATGTAACCGTCTCAGCGCTTTTACACGAAGGGATTCTGGCACCACTACTCTTTCACCAAACATCAAACAATCGTTCACGATACATAATGAATCCCGCTGCTAATTCAGTTGCTCCATGTCACCATCAAACTTCTTGAACGGCCAACCGTTAGTGACATATTTCATCGTCATTTTGAAGACGGAGTCGTTTCTAGAAGCATTTTGTATGTCTGTTGCGGACACCGGTAATGCGCGAATTGAAATTGTCAGATAAAATTCTGCGTGATCTTACACTGACAGAAATGCGATTACCATGTTCTTCTCAGCCGCTACTTGATAATTAATGAGTCGTGACAAAGCGTCTGCCTGACCGAATTGTAGAGTGTCCCGGTATTGGATTTCGAAATCATACCCCAAAAGTACCAGGGCCCACCGCTGAAGTCGATTTGCGGAATGGGCTGGAATGCCGGACTTTAAACCGAATACTGCTAGCAGTGGCTTGCGATCTTTGAAGACGGCGAACAGCAAATATAAGAGCAAGAGCCTATTTTTCTGTCTGGCTGTACTTCTTCCCTGGTGTTGGTGTACGGGATGCATGCATAACGGCTTTTTCTGAGGCTTCTGGAAACTGATGTGAAATAACAGCACCTAGACCGTACGCTGAAGCGTCTGCTGCTACGATGATTGGCATGGATGGATCGTAGTGTGAAAATAACCATTACGAGCTAATTATAGACTTGAGCTAACCAAAAGCCGGGTTGCACTCTCTAGTCCAGTTCCATGTGCTATGCTTCTGCAGTAGACAATTCAATTGAGCGCGAATATCATGCATCGAGGGAATAAATTCTGAATAATGACTGAATAATCCGAGAAAAGATCGTGATTCCGAGACACTAGTGGGAGTGGGCATCAGCATGATAGCTCGGATGTTCGGTCTGCGGCCGTCGGCACCGAAGATGAATCCCAAATACTTTACCTACTGCAATAAAAACGGGCATATCTCTGGGCGTAAGCGGAAACCGACGTCACTGATGCGTTGCAGTACCCCTGTTGTGCGTTCCCGTTGTTGTCCTAATATCTTCGCAACAATTAAAATATCATCGAGATAAGCTGCGACTCCTGATAGGGTAGTATCCATTAGTTGCTGGGAGATAGATGGAGCAGTCTTAACTCCAAAAGGCAGATGGCTGTACTGGAACAAACCACGATGGGTATTGACAGTAAGCAGATCTTTTGATGCTTTATCTACTTCCACTTGCAAAAAAGCATCAGCTAGATCGAGCTTTGCAAAAACTTTCCTCCATTCATCATAGTGAACAGAGCTGCTGGGACCGGCAGAGGATAATGATGTTGTTCCAGAGCTGCGTTTAGACCTGTAGAAAAGTCAGCACATATACGTATCATGCCGTTGGCCTTTTTGATAATGACTATAAGTGCTGCCAAGTAGAGTTAAAAACGGGCGTAATAACTTCTTGTCGTTGAAGACGATTCAATTCTTCGTCTACTGTTGCTAACGTTGCATAAGGTACAGGTCTCTTTTGATGGAAAGCAGGCTTAGCTTCAGGTTTTAACCGAAGTGTTGCTTTCATGGCAGTGCAACGACCTAACCCAGGTTGGAAAATGGTTGAAAAATCCGGCAATGCTGTTGAATTACTGGTATTTCTCCTTCACCAGCAACTAGGTCGACTTCCGCTACAGTTACCGTTACTTTCCGTTTATCTTCAACTACTTCCTTGGCAGGATCCTCTAGATTTTTATAATACTTACAGTCTGTCTGAGAAGCTGTAACTACTTTAGCCAATGTAGTAAAAAGACATTAGGCAGAATCATGACTTATAGATGATGATGTCTACAAACTAACCGAGGCATCTTTCACCACATCAGCATTCACAACGTGTGACGAAATATTTGATCCAAAATCGTAATCAGACGGAGTGCCTTAGCTATAGCAGGACTTGGTTGAACGGTAGGCTACTTAGATGATTAATTTGACGCTTCGAGTGACGCAACGGAAGCCTCTGTAAGAGAAACAGTATGATTAGAAGGAGAACTAGATAAATCCTGATCTATCGATTTAGTGTGAGGATGGTTTGTTCCACTCAGGTTTATCTGAATTTCATCATGCTCATTGTTACTTTCCATAATAAACAAAATTGATTTCTTATCGGAAATGGCCACTACTGGATTACGATATTCTCTTCCTTTTTGACGTAGCCGCTCTAACTCGATTTCGTTTTATATCTGAGTTAAACGTACTTTACCTAATTCTAACTCTAACGAAGGAGCCATTCAGTAGCTATTTCTTTTTAACTGGTCTTCAATATGAGTTTCCGAGTGGTGGATAGACAATTTCGAAATCTGTCCAGTTTTATGATTCTCCGTAGACATTTAAAGGTACTCAATGTACGAACTTCTGATGAGGTGTTGGTCGAAAATCTGTAGGATTTAATTTAATGTACTTCTGGAACTGTAAGCGCAATATTGGCGAGCACATAGTCTGTGGGAAAGCTATAGTCAAAACAAGACCGATTCGGTTTTAAACGTTATCTGTTTCCTAACATAAAAACAATTAAATTGGTACAATAAATAAGGAAATTGCAATTATCAAGTAAGACGAGCAAACTTACCGCTCAATATAGCGTGTCTTATGGAAATGAATAAAGTTATGAGTCACATCAATATGATAAGATAATAA